GATGGTGGTAGTCGGGTGGCGATGGTAGCCGGTCAGTAAAGTTTGCACAAGTAAACCCTGTAGCCAAAACACGTAAGAATGAGTCCAACCCCAGATTGATCGCCGAGAGTTACGACCAAAGTTCCCACAGTGAATTACGACCTGAATTCCAATGGGCCACGTACAGTATCCCGAAATCTTTATAGATGAGGTGTCACTTCTGTATTGGTGAAAACCGCCCAGATAGAATGTTGCAAGTGACGTTTCTTGTTGAGAGTGTCTCCTGAGGCCTCGTGGTAAACATTGGCCTCAGTTACACAGAGGTTGAGAGGTAGAGGCCATCAGGTGTGTGTAGATGGTTGATCAGAACGTATATATGGCCGGTGGGCGGCGGCGTGTAGGGGTGGTGGGGGTACTGGTCGGCTCTGGTAAATGGTGTCTGGGGAACACTTATCAGCCGCTGATAAAAGTGGTGCCGCCCCCTGCCTGCCCTTTAACAGCCCCCTGGCCGCCTCACCCGCCCACCGCCCGCCTCTGACCCGCCCATTGCCCGCCTCCTCACATCAAGTGGGTTCTGCCTCCTGCCCATTACGTTAACGGTCAAGTCCACACCCCACCGCCATCCGCCTCCACACTACGACACCCACCTACACACTCCGCCACCCACCTCCACACCCGCCTAAACACTACGACACCCACCTCCACACTCTGCCACCCACCTCCACACCTCCGCCTCCAAACACTACGACACCCACCTCCACACTCCGCCACCCACCTCCACACACTCCGCCATCCGCCTAAACACTACGACACCCACCTCCACATCCCGCCACCCACCCTCCACACCCCAGCCAACCACCCCACACCCTGCCACCCAATTCCACACCCCTCCACCCACCTTCACACCCCCGTCATCCACTTTCACACCCTGTAATCCGCCTTCGCCCCCTCCCATCCACCTTCACACACCGCCATCCACCTTCACACCCCGCCATCCACCTCCACACCCCCGCCATCCACCTCCACACCCCGCCATCCACCTCCACACACCCCCCCATCCACCTCCACACCCCCACCATCCACCTCCACACCCCCGCCATCCACCTTCACACCACCCCATCCACCTCCACACCCCCCCATCCACCTCCACACCCCACCATCCACCTCCACACCCCCGCCATCCACCTTCACACCCACTGCCATCCACCTCCACACCCCCGCCATCCACCTCCACACCCCCGCCATCCACCTCCACACCCCCGCCATCCACCTTCCACCCCCACCCATCCACCTCCACACCCCTCGCCATCCACCTTCACACCCCCGCCATCCACCTCCACACACCCCCGCCATCCACCTCCACACCCCGCCATCCACCCTCCACACCCCCCGCCATCCACCTCCACACCCCTGCCATCCACCTTCACACCCCCGCCATCCACCCCACACCCCCGCCATCCACCTCCACACCCCATCCACCTTCACACCCCCGCCATCCACCTTCACACCCCCGCCATCCACCTTCACACCTCCGCCATCCACCTCCACACCCCCCGCCATCCACCCCCACACCCCCACACCATCCACCTCCACACCCCGCCATCCACCTTCACACCCCCTGCCATCCACCTTCACACCCCACCATCCACCTCCACACACCCCACCATCCACCTCCTCCACACCTCCGCCATCCACCTCCACACCCTCCATCCACCTCCACACCCCCACCATCCACCTCCACACCCCCCGCCATCCACCTTCACACCCCCGCCATCCACCTCACACCCCCCACCATCCACCTTCACACCTCCGCCATCCACCTCCACACCCCCGCCATCCACCTCCACACCCCCACCATCCACCTCCACACCTCCGCCATCCACCCTCCACACCCCCACCATCCACCTCCACACCCCCGCCATCCACCTTCTCACACCTCCGCCATCCACCTCCACACCCCGCCATCCACCTTCACACCCCGCCATCCACCTTCACACCCCCCGCCATCCACCTTCACACCTCCACCATCCACCTTCACACCCCCGCCATCCACCTTCACACCTCCGCCATCCACCTCCACACCCACGCCATCCACCACACCCCCGCCATCCACCTTCACACCCCGCCATCCACCTTCACACCCCGCCATCCACCTTCACACCCCTGCCATCCACCTTCACACCTTCGCCATCCACACCCCGCCATCCACCTCCACACCCCCGCCATCCAACCCCCACACCCCCCGCCATCCACCTCCACACCCCCGCCATCCACCCCCACACCCCCGCCATCCACCTCCACACCCCCTCCACCCCACACCCCCGCCATCCACCTCCCCACACCCCCACCATCCACCTCCACACCCCGCCATCCACCTCCACACCCCCGCCATCCACCTCACCACACCCCCGCCATCCACCTCCACACCCCGCCATCCCCACCTCCACACCCCCGCCATCCACCTTCACACCCCCACCATCCACCTTCACACCCCGCCATCCACCTTCACACCCCTGCCATCCACCTCCCACACCCTGCCATCCACCCTCCACACCCCCGCCATCCACACCTTCACACCCCCTGCCATCCACCTCCACACCCCCGCCATCCACCTCCACACCCCCTGCCATCCACCTCCCACACCCCTGCCATCCACCTCCACACCCCTGCCATCCACCTCCACACCCCCTGCCATCCACCTTCACACCCCTGCCATCCTTCACACCCCCCGCCATCCACCTCCACACCCCCGCCATCCACCCCCACACCCTCCGCCATCCACCTCCACACCCCCGCCATCCACCTCCACACCCCCGCCATCCACCTTCACACCCGCCATCCACCTCCACACCCCGCCATCCACCTCCACACACCCCGCCATCCACCTCCACACCCCGCCATCCACCCCACACCCCCTGCCATCCACCCCACACCCCCGCCATCCACCTCCACACACCCCACATCCACCTCCACACCCCCTCCACCTCCACACCCCTGCCATCCACCTCCACACCCCCCTGCCATCCACCTCCACACCCCGCCATCCACACCCCCCCACCATCCACCTCCACACCCCTGCCATCCACCCCACACCCCCGCCATCCACCTCCACACCCCCTGCCATCCACCTCCACACCCCCGCCATCCACCTCCACACCCCGCCATCCACCTTCACACCCCCACCATCCACCTTCACACCCCCGCCATCCACCTCCACACCCCCCACATCCACCTCCACACCCCCTGCCATCCACCTCCACACCCCCCTGCCATCCACCTCCACACCCTGCCATCCACCTCCACACCCCCTGCCATCCACTCCACACCCCCGCCATCCACTCACACCCCTGCCATCCACCTCCACACCCCCCTGCCATCCACCCCACACACCCCCTGCATCCACCTCCACACCCCTGCCATCCACCCCCTCCACACCCCTGCCATCCACCTCCACACACCCCCTGCCATCCACCTTCACACCCCCTGCCATCCACCTTCACACCCCCGCCATCCACCTTCACCCTCTGCCATCCACTTCCACACCCCCCTGCCATCCACACACCCCCTGCCATCCACCTTCTCACCTCACATCCACCTTCCACCCCTCTGCCATCCACCTCCACACCCCCGCCATCCACCTTCTCACCCCTGCCATCCACCTTCACACCCTGCCATCCACCTTCACACCCAAGTGTGGCCAGAGGTACTTGTAGTATATCTTGACCTTAGTCTTGCGGTAACATCATCTTGTAATCTAGTGATCTTGTTACTCCCTCCATATATATATATATATATATATATATATATATATATATATATATATATATATATATATATATATATATATATATATATATATATATATATATATGTGTGTGTGAGTGAGTAGTGTATGCATGTATGTATGGAGAGGGTGAGAGCACCTCCATCATATAGTGGTGTTCACGCCCGTATACAACAATGAATATAAACTGTTCTGCCACCAACTCACAATTATGATTTATGAACCAATCTGCTTTAGGCAAGTTGTGTCTGGTGCCTCTCTCTCTCTCTCTCTTGTAGCTGGTGTGGTAAGAGCCTGTATTAGCGGTTATTTCAGAGTCCTGTATTGTTTTTACTCTTAGGGAATTTTGTATGAATGTGGGTAGTGTATGACTTCAGTGTGTATAATATATATGTCTATGTTTACGGTGTATATGAAGCGAGGTGTGTGTGGCGGGGGTGGAGGCGGGGGGAGTTACAACTGGACAGATGAGTCTACCCTGACATGACATTCATTTTCTTTAGCTTCAGAACGCTATTCCCTCTGGTGGCTGTTTGGGTGAACTAATTATATCTAAACGGATATTAATGTATGGGGAATATCACACACACACACACACACACACACACACACACACACACATTGTGTTGTGTCGGCTGAGTTATGACGTCTAACAAAAATAAAAACAGGAGCCAGACAGATGACCTAACAATGTCTATTCATGTTGAACCAGTTGGGAACGTGTACACTCTCTCTCTCTCCCCCCCCCCCCTCTCTCTCTCCATTTATAATGTATGTATGTATGTATGTATCTATCTATCTATCTATCTATCTATCTATCTATCTATCTATTTATCTATCTATCTATCTATCTCTACTGTACATAGGAGAAAATATCGTGTTTGCTGATATTATTTGGGCCCACCATCAACGTCATCCCACTCGCCCTAGTCACCCCATCACCCCTCTCATCCCACTCACACCACTCAACCTACTCGCCCTTTTTCACTTTTGCTTGTCCCACTCATCCCTCTCACCCCACTCATCCCTCTCACGTCACTCAACCCTCTCACCCTTTAATCCCTCTTATCCCATTCATTCCTCCCTCAATCCTCCCTTTAAGCATTCGTCCCTCTAATACCTCTCACCCCACTCATCCCTTTAATCCCATTCACCCCCTCTAATCTTTCCCGCCCCACTCATCCCTCTCCACCCCTCACCCCACTCATCCCACTCTCTCTCTCCACCAACAGACACGGACGACAGCGACATGGAGGGGACACTCTCCAACATCTCCCGGCAGGTGATGAGGCCGCCAGGGTGCTCCGGCAAGGCCAAGCGAGGACACCTGTGTTTTGATGCCTCCTTTGAGACAGGTGAGAGACAGGGTGAGAGACAGGTGAGAGACAGGTGAGAGACGGAGTGAGCAGACAAAATACTAAATTCCTCGGAGTTATTGTTGATGAGAAACTTAACTGGAGAAACCACAAACAAGCCATTCACAGTAAAGTCAATAAACAGTGCGGTACCATGTATCACACCCGACAGTCACTCACTCTCACAGAAATGAAAGAAATCTATCATGATCTTGTTTACCAACACTTGATACACTGTCACACACTATGTGGGCCTGGCTCTTCAAAAACACAATGTCTGGTTACTGCACAAAAGAGAGTTGTACGGACAATGACCTACTTGAAAAAAAAATAGATCACGCAAAGGAAAAATTTGCTAAATTAAAAATTTTAAAATTCGAAGATATTAACACCTACTGCTGTGCCTCTTTGTTTACAAATCTATCAATCACTTGCTTGACAATAATTATTTCCAGTTTTGGAATAATCAAAGATACAACTAGGGCACCCAAGACTACTAAGACCCCCACCCCCCCATGCGCTCCTCTCAGTCCCAGACCTCCAAAAAATGTCACGGTATTGAAACAACTTACCCCCACCATCAGCAAAGACTACGCTCCCTTCCTTTAAATCATCTCTTAAAAAATATCTATTGTCTAAGTATTAATATTTATTGTAACACCTCCTATATTTACAGTACCTTCTTTTATTGTACCATCAAAACCGTTTTGTCTGAAATTATCATGTAAATAGATAATAAATTACCATTGCAATAAACACATTTGCCAACTAGACATAATCCTGACAGCTCTGTCCTCTTGTTCAACCTTATTACTGTACGACCCAGGTTGTACTGCTCCCCATCATACTTATGTTTTTCAATTCTACTGTAAATAAAATAAATAAATATTGAAGTGATAACCGTGGTAACATTATGAGATGTTCTTTTTACCACCATGCTATTGTACTATTCCAGGTGTTACTAAATGTTACACAATACTTCCTTGAGATAAATGTATAGTATATATCAGGTGCCTACAGGAGAGCTCATGTTCTCAACTGGCTCAGCCATGTTAATATTGTTATTGTTATCCACTCTGTATCTGTGTTTTTCTGGCTAAATAAACTGTTTCAATTCAAGTCAAGATAAGTAGGGTGAGAGAGGACACCTGTGTTTTGATGCCTCCTTTGAGACAGGTGAGAGACGGAGTGAGAGACAGGTGAGAGATAAGTAGGGTGAGAGAGGACACCTGTGTTTTGATGCCTCCTTTGAGACAGATGAGAGACGGAGTGCGAGATGGTGAAGATAAGTAGGGTGAGAGAGGACACCTGTGTTTTGATGCCTCCTTTGAGACAGGTGAGGACGGGTGAGAGACAGGTGAGAGATAAGTAGGGTAGAGAGGACACCTGTGTTTTGATGCCTCCTTTGAGACAGGTGAGAGACGGAGTGAGACAGGTGAGAGATAAGTAGGGTGAGAGAGGACACCTGTGTTTTGATGCCTCCTTTGAGACAGATGAGAGACGGAGGGAGAGATAGGTGAGAGATAGGTAGGGGTGAGAGAGGACACCTGTGTTTGATGCCTCCTTTGAGACAGGTGAGAGACGGAGTGAGACAGGTGAGAGATAAGTAGGGTGAGAGAGAGGACACCTGTGTTTTGATGCCTCCTTTGAGACAGGTGAGAGACGGGAGAGAGAGACAGGTGAGAGATGGGTTGAGAAAAGAGAGAAGCAGGAGACGGAAAGATTGAGAAGAGGAAAGAAGGCCCCTTCTAAAAATACCAACACAGGCCATAAGACCCACAAGTTCCTCCTGCCGGTGATATTAGGGGAGGTGCTGGGGGTTGAGGGGAGGGTTGAGGAAGGTGAGCGGAGATGAGGAGGTGAGGTGATGGAGGTGAAGGGAGGGAGAGGTAGGGGTGGTGAGGGGGATGTGTCGGGTGAAAGGAGGTAGGGGTGAGGTGTGGATTGAGGAGGGTGAGAGGTGTGGGTAGATGTGGAGTGAGGAAGTGTGGAGTGAAGGAGGTGAGGGAGGATAGTAGGTGAGGAATGGTGAGAGAGTGAGGGAAGAAGAAAAGAGGAATGAGGGAGGGTGAGAGAGGGAGGGGGGGGGACAGCTGGGTCACCTCCCGTAATTAGGTTGTAAGTTTATAATCCAGGACCAACATGAACACAGACACCATACTTGTTTACCTAATGTGTCCTGCCTCACGCTGCATGATACACGTCTTCCTCCTCCTCCTCCTCCTCCTCCCTCCTCCTCCTCCTCCTCCTCTCTCTCCTGTTTCCTTCTTCAACTCCTTCTCTTTCAATCTTTTCTTTTTCTTCCACCTCTCTATCTCCTTCTTTCAAGAGTCACAGATAAGGGACTTAGGTCGGCAGGGATACTCAAACAGACAGGGACTGGAGCAGACAGGCAGGGGGACTCATGGGGACTGAGGCAGGCAGGGTTACTCATCAGTATGCTGGTGCAGGGTGTGGCCGCCACCTCCTGCATATTCTCAGCCGGTAAATTATCACATCGTAAGTCAGCCGCCGATTTATGAGCAAAGTTCAGATCCCGTGATTCCAACTCTTTCCTGAAGTTATGGTCCAAACGAGAGTTGAACCATATATACCTTCTCTCTCTCTCTCTCTCTCTCTCTCTCTCTCTCTCTCTCTCTCTCTCTCACACACACACACACTAGGGGTGATGTACCCTCGCCAGCTCCAGTGTGTCAGGTTCATCACGGCACGACGATCCTCATGGGACACTCTCCCTCTAGGTCCCCAGACTTCCATGCTCCCCGTCAGGCCTCCACCTTCCCAGAGCCCCCAGGCAGGCCCATACCCTTCCCAGAGCCCCCAGACAGGCCCCTACCTCCCCAGAGCCCCAGCTATCTTCTTCCAGGGGCGTATTCTGGTAGCCTGCAGGTCCTCCACCACACACATGACTCCAGGGGAGGAGGCTGTAGCCAGGGTCCTTCATGCTACTCCACCATAGGTGTTATTAGTGTATGTGGGGTGTGATAGAGTAGGTGTGGTACATGGTGTGTGGTAGGTGGCAGGTATGGTGGGTGTGGTGGTGTGTGGTGGGTGGCGAGGTATGGTGGGTGGTACATGTGGTGTGGTGGCGGGTATGGTGGGTGTGGTACATGGTGTGTGGTAGGTGGTATGGTGGGTGTGGTACATGGTGTGTGGTGGGTGCGTGGTGGGTGTGGTACATGGTGTGTGGTGGGTGGCGATATGGTGGGTGTGTGGGTATGGTGGGTGTGGTGGGTACATGGTGTGTGGTGGTGTGGGAGTATGGTAGGTGTGGTTATGGTGTGTGGTGGGTGGAGGTATGGTAGGTGTGGTGCATGGTGTGTGGTGGTCGTGGGAGGTATGGTAGGTGTAGTACATGGTGTGTGGTAGTCGTGGGAAGTATGGTAGGTGTGGTACATGTGTGTGGTAGTCTGGGAGTATGGTAGGTGTGGTACATGGTGTGTGGTAGTCGTGGGGTATGGTGGGTGTGGTACATGGTGTTGGTAGTGGGGAGATATGGTGGGTGTTGGTTGGTATCGTGGGAGATGTGGGTGTGGTACATGGTGTGTAGTAGTCGTGGGAGGTATGGTAGGTGTGGTACATGGTTTGTGGTAGTCGGGAGAGTATGGTAGGTGTGAATTCATAGTTAGTAGTCGTGGGAGGTATGGTAGGTGTGTATATATTGTGTGTGTAGTCGTGGGGTATGGTGGGTTGTGGTACATGGTGTGTGTGGTCGTGGGAGGTATGGTAGGTGTGGTACATGGTGTGTGGTAGTCGTGGGAGTATGGTAGGTGTGGTACATGGTTGTGTGTGGTAGTCGTGGGAGGTATGGTAGGTGTGGTACATGGTGTGTGGTAGTCGTGGGAGGTATAGTAGGTGTTACATTGGTATTAGTGGTAGTCGTGGGAGGTATGGTGGGTGTGGTACATGGTGTGTGGTAGTCGTGGGAGGTATGGTAGGTGTGGTACATGGTGTGTGGTAGTCGTGGGAGGTATGGTAGGTGTGGTACATGGTGTGTGGTAGTCGTGGGAGGTATGGTAGGTGTGGTACATGGTGTGTGGTAGTCGTGGGAGGTATGGTAGGTGTGGTACATGGTGTGTGGTAGTCGTGGGAGGTATGGTAGGTGTGGTACATGGTGTGTGGTAGGTGGCGAGGTATCCCCCCAAGGCGGCCTCACCATACATCACTCGGGTGTGCTCCTCCACGCCGCTCATTCCCTGCGTCAGCTCAGGACAATTTGGTGTCGTAATCTAATGGAGATCCTCACAATTGTGACCTGACGGCCGCCATTTCGCACAAGTTAAACGCAATTACAAAATTACATTTCGGCTCGGGCTTCCGTTATTGTTAAACTGGATTATAGGTCTGAAATTCTGTTGGACTTTTCGTGTCGTTCATGTTAGTAAAAAAACAGATGCCAACATTTTTATTCCGGTGGTCGTGGGTACATCAAAACACAGCCGGCGTGAAGGTGTTATGTTTGGTGAGGTGCACGTGTATGGGGAGAAGGTTGTTGATTGGTCTGTACGATTGTTCCGTCCACTGATGTACAGAAGGTGGGTCTCAGGTAGTTAAGATGATATGAGTAACACCTGACACGCCCGCCAGGTGGCTATACAGGTAGACTATGTGGGGAGCGTTAAGTGACCTGAAGTAGGAGGTATGAGGTAAAAATAGAATATACTTCAGGTATGTCTTCATTCAGTAACTTCAAAGTCATCACAACACACAACCCACAACACAGTGTTCCAGTACGCGTAGAATACTTAACAACATCACATACTGAAACACAGTGACAGAGGCAAGGTTTCAGAGGCTGTAGAGTCACACCACAAAAGTCCTGTTGCCTCACCTCCTGAACCACGAACCCGGAGATTCAGACTCGTGAATCCGAAGCATTTATGGACAGAATAATCAGTGTCTACGGCTTCGGGTTCACGAGTCTGAACCTGGGTGACTGTACACACACACACACACACACACAGTTCACAACACGAGTAGTCAGGCGTAGGATTGGCCTCACTAACATATGTGTCATCAAGGCGAGAATAAGTTGACAAGACACCATTACCATCTACAGTATATCTAAGTCTCTCTTTACCACCTAATGTTTACCGACACAATACTTGTCACACACTACCACAACATTGTACCAGTGTCTTAGTCTGATGTTGTATTACGTATTAGAACAGTAAATGGTCATAGGAGTGTTGTTAAGAGAGTTCCCAGTTGACAGTTAGTAGGTGTGTGTGTGTGTGGTCGTTCGTCTTGGTGATCAGAGAGACACTATTGTAATCTCTCCCCGTGTCTCTCTCTCCCCATCACAATGTTTATCTCCTGCCTAACTCTCCCTCCCTGCTGTCTCTACCCTTAATTGTCTCTTGCTTGCTTGCTTCTGTGTGTTTGTATGCATTTGCGTGCGTGTGTGTGTGTGTGTGTGTGTGTGTGTGTGTGTGTGTGTGTGTGTGTGTGTGTGTGTGTGTACACGCACACGTGTGTGTGTGTGTGTGTGACGTGTGTGTGTGTGTGTGTGTGTGTGTATGTATTTTTCTCTCCTCTAATCAAAATGTACATGTCGAATCACATCAACACATCCAATCACTCAAGACTAGTGATTCACAGTCGCCCAATCCTCTAATCATCGGGCTTAACAACCAAGTCACAACCCCAACCTCTAATCCACGGGGCTCCTAATCCCTGAGCCTTCCAATCATGGTTTACAATCAGTGGACCTTCGACTTTTCCTCAACTCCCATCTTTCATTTCATTCTTTCATTCAATCCTTTCATTCTTCTTTCTTCTTCTTCGATCTCAAATTCTTTCCCTCATCTCTAGTTTTCATTCTTTTAATTATTTTTTCGCCTTTTTTCAGTCATCGGAATTAAGTAACTCTCTCTCTTGTGCTCCTACACCCTTGGCTCGACCTTCAAACTTGGTATGTGGGGAGATGCATACCCTTAATGGTTCAAAGGGGTTAAGGGGGTGTGACAATAATAAGGAGTTATATCTAAGGGGGGGGGGAGGGGGTGAAAATTAAGTCATACGCCCGCCAGTAGTTATCAGATGGACGACTCCACAATCTCACTCGACCCAAACTATCGTACTGCAAAAGTGATTATTTATCTGATTAGCGAATTTTTAGTAATAATAATCCTATTCTAATCCTGGTCAGGGGGTCATCGATTAGCCTGTTTCAGACTGATTCATCTAACAATCCTTAATTTTTTCGGTGTTTAGGTCTAATTTTACAATCTTACCCTCCTTTAATGCCCTCTTGTTTACCTCCTAGTACCCAGTCCTAACTAGGATTGTAAGTCACAATCATCTCAATGCTCTAATCATTAGCTCTCCCTATTATTGTAATCTCTAATCTGTAATCAAGATCCTTACTCAATAATTAATCTAGTGAAGATAGGATACCAATTATTACAGTGCTCAATACTCCCTGTGCTCAATACTACTTGTCGTGCTCAATTGTTACCTATGGTGCTCAATTACTACTTGTGCTCAATACCACCTTTACTCAGTATTACCTGTGGTGCTCATTACCTGTGCGCAATACTCACATTTCCAGGTCCAGGTATGACTCAGGTAAACCCCAGGTCACTCTCCACAGGTAACCTTGGCCGGATAGACTTTGCGGCCGAGTACGACTACGACCTGTTCATACGACCTGACACCTGTAACCCGCGCTGCAGACTCTGGTTCAACTTCACCGTCGATAATGCCAAGGCTGACCAGGTGAGGGTATGACAGGTGAGGATATGACAGGTGAGGGTATGACAGGTGAGGGTATGACAGGTGAGGATATGACAGGTGAGGGTATGACAGGTGAGGATATGACAGGTGAGGGTATGACAGGTGAGGATATGACAGGTGAGAGTATGACAGGTGAGGACATGACAGGTGAGGGTATGACAGGTGAGGATATGACAGGTGAGGGTATGAGAGAATATGACAGGTGAGGATATAACCAGGTGACCATTTACTGACAGATCTGGGGGTTAGGCAATACGGTACATGTACGATTGACTAAGAGGCGAGAATCTCATAATCTTTTCATGGTAGTTTCAGCTTTAGTTGCATAGCATTATCATCACGCATGAGGCAACACGGTGTACGAGAGGTGCCGGAGGGGTGAGAATCTCGTGAATATATAATGACACACTCAACTCTGTGGGTTGGTGGTAATTACTGGATATAATTAAGACCAATCTGGACCCTCGGGACTCACCACTAATAAATAGATGTAATGCTAGAGTGTGTGTGTTGAAGGTAAGGATCACCTGAAGATTAACCACCCTACCCTAACCTAACCTAACCTAACCTAATCCCCAGGTAACAGTAAGGTGTTAAATCCTCAGGTGAAATAAGTTAGGGGGATAAAAGTTCAGGTGGTTAAAATCTTATTATTTCAACTCCTGTACAGTCACCTTAAACATGTTCACTCGCCTGCACTTACACCTGGTACCGTGGCTGGCACATTTTGTGAGATGTGGCAACACTGTGGAATGATTATCTAGCTTCTACTATTGCCAGACTTCTTAGGGCCATTCTGAGACATGTACTGTAAACAAACACAGACTTGCCACATCTCACAAAATGTGCCAACCACTGTACCAGGTGTAAGTGTAGGCGACTGTACATATACCTACACAGATACACATACATGTTCTTAAAAACACACATCCCTCACACACGAAATGGTTTCATCAGTGAGGTCAGACGAGGCGGAGTAATTATTGTCTTAGAAAGCATGTTACTAGTTGAGTATGTTTGAGGGTCTGACAACACGACACAACACCACACACCACACAACACCACACAACACACTACTAATAAATATTACCACTATTATTAACATTGCAACACCACACACCACAACACTGTATTACCTACAACACAACACAACATGCCTAGCTGTCAACACCACACAGCACAACACCACACCACACAACACACACACCACACAACACCACACAGCACAACAGGATAGATAAATAAAATGATACAACAGACAGACGATAAATAATGATAAATAAGAATAATGAAAGAATAGACTTCACACCTCCTTTCTCTCCCTCCTCCCCTCCTCCTCCTCCTCCCCCTCCTCCTTCCACTATTCCTCCCTCCTCCTCCTCCACCTCCTCCTCCTTCTTCATTCTCCCCCCCCATCTACCTTCTGTCTCTTCCCCCCATTCCTGCCTTCCGTCATCCTCTTCCTACACCCCTCCTCCTTCTTCTTCCTCCTTCCATCATTCTTACCTTCTCCTCCTCCTCCTCTTTCCCTTCATCCTCCAACCTTCTGATATCTCCTCCTCATCCCTCCTCCTCCTCTCGCCTCCTCCGTTCTTTCTTGTCCTCCTCCTCCTCCTCCTCTGTCCCACACCGCCGTATCTCCCACAATAAGTTAGCGCCCCGCGGCCTGGGTGGGGAGAGGAGAGAAGGGGAGGGGAGGGGGATGAAGGAGAAGGGGAGGGGGGTGAGGGAGACATAACTCAGGTATATATCTTAACCAGGTGAGCTATGTAGTCTGGGGAGCTTCATATTTATCGCACACAACGCGCCGGAGCTAAAAAAAAAGGGTGTAGAGAAAATCCACTCGTTTCCGGGCATGGCGAGTGTTGATTGGTTGTCACCTTATTCCTCGTTATCCTTTGCTCTGATTGGGCCTAGTCCTCGGCCTTGCTTATTATCCTATGTTATGATTGGTCTTCACTTCAGAACAGGGAGTCTGATTGGTCCAAGGTCTTTATTCTGTGCTTTGGTTGGGCCTTGCTCCTTGGTCTTCCCTTGGGTTAGGTTAGGTTAGGTTAGGTTAGGTTAGGTTAGGTTAGGTTAGGTTAGGTTAGTGTTAGATTAGGTAAACTACAATCTCACCAATACCCCAATTATCTCTCACTAACCAGCCAATTATCCCTCACAGTTCCAATTTATCTCTCACCTATTTCCCTGTTACCTGTTACTTATTTCTCTATTATCTGTGTGTGTGTGTGTGTGTGTGTGTGCGTGTGTGTGTGTGTGTGTGTGTGTGTGTGTGTGTGTGTGTGTGTGTGTGTGTGTGTGTGTGTGTGTGTGTGTGTGTGTGTGTAACCCCACGAAGCCATCAATACCTGTCTCTCTATACAGGTGAATATCTTAGAAATATATATACCTGTGTGGGCAGCGTCCACATTGGTTTTCCTTCAAGTAACAACAAAATAAAACATATTAGTCCATTAAGATCAATAATACTATACAATTGGGGTGTACTGTGGGTTGGGTGTGTGGTGTTAGGGGTACTGTGGGCTGGGTGTGTGGTGTTGGGGAATTTTATGGGCATGGGTATGGTGTTGCCAGAATTTTGGTGGGCTAGGTGTGGTGTTGGGGTACTGTAGGCTGGGTGTGTGGTGTTGGGGTACTGTGGGCTGGGTGTGTGGTGTTGGGGTACTGTGGGCTGGGTGTGTGGTGTTGGGGTACTGTGGGCTGGGTGTGTGGTGTTGGGGTACTGTGGGCTGGGTGTGTGGTGTTGGGGTACTGTGGGATGGGTGTGTGGTGTTGGGGTACTGTGGGCTGGGTGTGTGGTGTTGGGGTACTGTGGGATGGGTGTGTGGTGTTGGGGTACTGTGGGCTGGGTGTGGTGTTGGGGTACTGTGGGCTGGGTGTGTGGTGTTGGGGTGTACTGTGGGCTGGGTGTGTGGTGTTGGGGTACTGTGGGCTGGTGTGTGGTGTTGGGGTACTGTGGGCTGGGTGTGTGGTGTTGGGGGTACTGTGGGCTGGGTGTGTGGTGTTGGGGTACTGTGGGCTGGGTGTGTGGTGTTGGGGTGTACTGTGGGCTGGGTGTGTGGTGTTGGGGTACTGTGGGCTGGGTGTGTGGTGTTGGGGTACTGTGGGCTGGGTGTGTGGTGTTGGGTGTACTGTGGGCTGGGTGTGTGTGTTGAGTCACTGCCAAAAAAAAAAGAAAAATAAATAAATAAAACAATCAAGGGGAAAAAAAATTACCTTACTTGAAAATTTCCAACATTGTCCATTGACCGTCATAGTCCATCTGTCCTGAGCCCAACCACCACTACACGCCCTCCATCAAGAACAGCTGTCAGGGGCCAAGCCTTTTATGTTTCAATCCCATTTTATAGAACATCTGCCTCCCAAAACTCACTTACGCTCCCCACTATCAACGTGTGTGGACCTACCTCACTATCTCTTTGTCTCTACCTATCTCTACCTTAATCTACCTATCTACCTCTCCCTACCTTACAGTTTTTCTCGACCATGTAACGTCCAACAGTTTATAACATCCTGGTTCGTATTTAAGTCTGCATTAGTGGTTTAAGTGGGAATAAACATAACAAGTATACTTATAATACGAGTGTTAAAAGTTCGTGATATACCGCCATTATACTCGTTATATGCGTCTCTTCAACTCATTATATGCGTATATTATCCTCCGTGTGTTATATTTGTTGTATAGTTGTGACGAGGAGGTGTAACACGGGTCAGGTGTAACACGGGCCAGGTGTAACACGGGTCAGGTGTAACACGGGCCAGGTGAAATACGGTCAGGTGTAATGCGTGTCAGGTGTAACATGGATCAGGTGTAACACGGGCCAGGTGTAATGCGTGTCAGGTGTAACATGGATCAGGTGTAACACGGGCCAGGTGTAACACGGGCCAGGTGTAACACGGGCCAGGTGTAACACGGGCCAGGTGTAACGGGTCAAGTGTAACACGGGTCAGGTGTAACACGGTCCTGGTGTAACACGGTCCTGGTGTAACATGGATCAGTTGTAACATGGACAGCAACGACTCGTGTGGAAGTGTGTGTGTGGACCATAGGTAAACATTGTGATAATTATGAGTAAAATAGGAGTAATTGGCGGGTCAAAGGAGACTTGATTACACGTTAATGACCATTGTTGTTTTGTGAGTGGCCCTTGAGGTGGCCCTTGAGGTGACCCTTGAGGTGGCCTCCAGGTGCTCCTCACATTATACAGTATTACACAGAGGGTGGTTGTGTATGTAATAATGCCAATATTTTTTGTTTTGACCGTTCTCGCCAAAACACCCAGCGTTTTGTACCCAAAACCGCCCAGTGCCGCCCACACAATGCCACAATGAGCGTTTCGTACCCAAAACCGCCCAGTGCCGCCCACACAATGCCACAATGAGCGCTTAGCCGTGCCTTGAATGGTGGCTTGTGGTTGGTTGTAGAGAATTAGTAACATACGTGTGTGTAACCAATTAGATTCTGTCTAACCTAACTTAGATTCCTAATTAACCTAACCTAAGCCTTAATAACACCTGTACGTTAATTAAAAAGGTGTAGCTACATACAGGTGTTGACATTGTTACTGTGTAAGTGTATGAACGTTGGTGTATTTCTCTATAATATGTGAGTAAGGTCAAGTTAACTATACATAAATTATACACACAGAAGCCCGTCGTTGAGCGCCCCAGCATAATTACACCATTTAACTCTATGATTACCACTACTTAAACTTTTACGGTGTTTTTTTTTTTTTTAGTTATTTTACACAAGATTAACTTTTGTTTTTTTTACAGTCCCCCGGAGGTTAGGTTAGGTTAGGTTAGGTTAGGTTAGGTTAGGTTAGGTTAGGTTAGGTTAGGTTAGGTTAGGTTTTTTACAGTCCCCGGAGGAAGGTTAGGTTAGGTTAGTGTTAGGTTAGGTTAGGATAGGTTTGGTTTTTTACAGTCCCTGGAGGAAGGTACAGTCTAGGTTACAGAGAACATGGTGAAGATTGCAGAAATGATTGAGTACAGAGTAGTGTGTGTGTAGACAGGTGCAAGGTGATGTATTTTTGCTGTACTTACACCTGTCATGTACTAATTACTTGTCATTAACACCTGACGTACACTAATTAACTATCATAAATACCTGTGATATATTAATTAACCTCTCATTAACATCTGCCATACACTAATTACCTGCCATTAACACCTGTGATGTACTAATTACCTGTCATTAACACCTGTACCCCCCAGCGTGCTATCTTCAACTTGGTCAACATACACAAGAGCCGTAACCTGTTCTGTGAAGGTCTCACTCCTCTCGTCCGCTCCACCTCCCGCCCCAGATGGTGAGTATGGTCTCTCTCTCTCTCTCTCTCTCTCTCTGTATGTTTCTTTATATTTCACTGTATCTGTCTGCCTGTCTCACTATTTTGTCTATGTATCTATCTGTTTATCTCTCATTATCTATCTATCTATCTATGCATTTATTTACCTGTTTATCTGAGTATCCATTTATCTTTAAGTCTTCGTATTTATATATTCAGTTGTCTGTCTCTCAGTATATAGGTGTTGCTTCAGTACTGGTAGATAGGTGTTGCTTCAGTACAGGTAGATAGGTGTTGCTTCAGTACAGGTAGATAGGTGTTGCTTCAGTACAGGTAGATAGGTGTTGCTTCATGGGTGTTGCTTCACTACTGGTAGATAGGTGTTGCTTCAGTACAGGTAGATAGGTGTTGCTTCAGTACAGGTAGATAGGTGTTGCTTCAGTACTGGTAGATAGGTGTTGCTTCAGTACAGGTAGATAGGTGTTGCTTCAGTACAGGTAGATAGGTGTTGCTTCAGTACAGGTAGATAGGTGTTGCTTCAGTACAGGTAGATAGGTGTTGCTTCAGTACAGGTAGATAGGTGTTGCTTCAGTACAGGTAGATAGGTGTTGCTTGCATTGTAGATAGGTGTTGCTTCAGTACTGGTAGACAGTGTTGCTTCAGTACTGGTAGACAGGTGTTGCTTTCTGTACTGCAGATAGGTGTTGCTTCAGTACAGGTAGATAGGGTGCTTGCTCAGTACTGGTAGATAGGTGTTGCTTCAGTACTGGTAGATAGGTGTTGCTTCTCTTACTGGTAGACAGGTGTTGTTTCAGTACTGGTAGATAGGTGTTGCTTCAGTACTGGTAGACAGGTGTTGCTTCAGTACTGGGGGTAGATAGGGTGACCTTAGTGTGTAGTGTGAGGGAAACTGTGAGTCAGTGTTGTGTCACCCTGTGTTACTCCTCCCTACTCATCCTGTGTTACTCTCTCTCCTCAACCTGTGTTACTCTCCTGCCTCACCCTGTGTTGCCTCCTCCCTCACCCTCAGCATTCTCCTGCCTCACCCTGTGTTACTCTCTCTCCTCATCCTGTGTTACTCTCCCTGCCTCACCCTGTTTTACTCTCCCTCCCTCACCCTGTGTTACTCTCCCTGCCTCACCCTGTGTTACTCTCCCTCCCTCACCCTGTGTTACTCTCCCTGCCTCACCCTGTGTTACTCTCCCTGCCTCACCCTGTGTTACTCTCCCTCCCTCACCCTGTGTTACTCTCCCTCCCTCACCCTGTGTTACTCTCCCTGCCTCACCCTGTGTTACTCTCCCTGGCGCAGGACGAGACTGCCGCCAGAGAACGTGTACTACTATAGATCAGAGGAGCACCGTGGTCACTACATCCTCAGCTTTGCTATGTGTTTCGACGTGGAGCAGGACGTGTACCAGTTCTCCCTGACCTACCCTTACTCCTACGCCCGCCTACAGGCCTTCCTCAGCCTGCACGACGAGAAGAACCTACCCTTCTACTGGAGACACACTTTGGCGTATACTGTGGTAGGTCGGGTCCTCTGATCAACTATGCGACCCTTTTTTAGGTTTTATTGTGTTAAATATCAAACTATTTTTTCCGGGTTATATTGTGTGGCTAAATCATAAAACCTCGGGATAATATTCCAACAGGTATATAAACGTGGTAACACAAGCTGGATTTAAAGAACAATACTTACCGGGTCGTGTTTCACCAGGAATGACAATGAATGTAAACAAACAATATGGCGACTTCTGACGTCACTGAGTATGTTAATGTATCGTTGACTAAAATTACACATAATAATCCCACGTTAAATGAGACAGTTAACATAAAATGATACGTGAAAAGTTGAATTATGTCTCTAGTTTAAATACAACAAAATTTGGGTGTTGGTTTTCAAGCTATACTGAATACAATGACAGTTTAGTTTAGTTCATTGTACGTGTATGTTGCCAGCTGTGTGATGTGTTGGCTGAAGTGCTCTTGTGTGAGGAGAAAACTTGTCCATTGATTAACATACAGTATTTCAACAATTTATCCATCCAAAGTGTTTTATTGCTTAAATACCGGAATTAGTGGTGTATTGTTCGTAATTACGTGACGCAGGTGTGTGTGTAGCTAGTAATTACGTGACGCAGGTGTGTGTGTAGCTAGTAATTACGTGACGCAGGTGTGTGTGGCTAGTAATTATGTAACGCGGGTGTATGTGTGTGGCTAGTAATTATCTAACGCGGGTGTATGTGTGTGGCTAGTAATTACGTGACGCAGGTGTGTGTAGCTAGTAATTACCGGACGGGGTGTTAATTAACTAGGAGGTACCTGACGTGTGTGTGTGTGTGTACAGATGAAGCGGAGGTGTGACCTGCTCACCATCACCAGCCCCGAGAACTACCGAGGCCCCGTGCAGGCCCTGGTGGAGGCTCGGGGGGCGGCGGTGGAGGCTGCTACTAAGGCGGCTACCTCCCTACCAACACCTCAGCGCCCCGACGAAGACGAGAACGAGGACGAGGACGAGGACGAGGACGAAGATCACGTCCCCGTCCCACTGAGTAAGTCCCTCAAAGACACCGTCACCACACAGCAGCTGACGTGTGCCCATGTTCTCTTCATTCTACTTCTGCTACTGAAGCTTTTCTTCACCCCTCTCTCCTCCTCACCCCTCTCTCCTCCTCACCCCTCTCTCCTCCTCACCTCTCCTCCTCACCCCTCTCCTCCTCACCCCCTCTCCTCCTCACCCCTCCTCCTCACCCCTCTCCTCCCCTCACCCCCCTCCTCCTCCTCCACCCCCCTCTCCTCCTCACCCCCCTCTCCTCCTCACCCCTCTCCTCCTCCACCCCCCCTCCCTCCTCTTGTCCTCCCACCTCACCCCTTCTCCACCTCACCCCCCCTGCTCTCCACCCTCATCTCCTCCCCTTCTCATCCCCACTTCCCTCTCTTCCCGCTCCCCCTCTCTTCCCCCCTCCCCTCTCTTCCCCACTCTTCTCTCCTCCCCTCCCCCCTCTCCCTCCCCACTCTTCTCTCCTCCCTCCCCCTCTCCTCCCCACTCCCCTCTCCTCCCCACTCCCCTCCTCCCCCTCTTCTCTCTCCCCCCTTTCTTCTCCCCCTCTCCTCCCCACTCCCCCCTCCTCCCCCACTCTTCTCTCCTCCCTCCCCTCTCCTCCCACTCCCCTCCTCCCCTCTTCTCTCCTCCCCCCTCCCCCCTCCTCCTCCCCTCCCTCTCCTCCCCTCCCCTCCTCCCCACTCCCCCTCCTCCCTCTTCTCTCCTCCCCACCCCCTCTCCTCCCCCTCCCCCCCCTCCTCCCCTCTTCTCTCCTCCCTCCCCTCTCCTCCCCTCCCTCTCCTCCCCTCCCCTCTTCTCACAAATATATAGAAAAATAAAGAAGGATTGGAGTAATAATTATTCCAGGTAACTCAGGTAACACTGTACACCTGAGTTACTCTACCGTTTAAAACCTCTTGAGAAATTTGTCCAACTAAACCAAGAACTGACAAGCTGACGAGGTGCCTGACATTTGAGCTGACGTTAACGAGGTAACAAACACTCACACTTCCAGCCAGAGTATACCTTCAGACTCTGACCTGTGATGACCTTTTAATGTTAATGAAATAATTAAACAGGTACAGGCGAGGTAGTTATGGCCGCTCACCTGTTGGTACACCTGTCATATGGTGTGTATACTAGCGAGTCATGTGTGTGTGTGTGTGTGTATTTGTCGTATCTAAACTATGACTTATTAATCATACAATTAGACATGTGTGTATATGGTGTGTATATTCGTAATGTCATATAGGCTACAAGCTACGTTTAACCTCAGTCTTATTATCCTGAAGGAACTCGTTTGCCCCGGCGTGTGGTGGTGGTGATGGCCAGAGTACACGGCGGCGAGTCACCCACCTCCTTCATCGTGCAGGGTCAGTCGTCGGTGGCTAGTGGTAACGAGTTTGAGTGATAATTTCAATACATTATTTTTTTTTTTACTTTCAACATCTTAAATTAGTTCTGTAGTGGATAATTACGTAGATAATAATGATACATTCTCTTAAGTGTATGTTATTAGTGTCAGGTTAATTGTCTTGTTATTTTTGTTTATTTAATTAGTATAGGTGTTATTATTGTACTTTATTATCATTTTATTCGCTACTACTACTACTGTCATTACCACACTACCACCTTAATACGCCACAATGCTACTACCACACCACCACGATATTGATACCACCATACTACACCACCACCATACCACCACACTATCATACTACCTTACTACCACCACCACCATACTACACCACAACACTATCACACCACCACAACACCACACCACTTTTCTACACCACCACACTACCACACTACATCACCATACTACACCACCACACTATCACCACCACAGCACCACCACCACCATACTACACCGGCACTATACTACTACACCAACATACTACCACACCAACATACTACCACACCACCACCACCACCATATTAAACCACTACACTACCACACCACCACCACCACCATACTAAACCACTACACTACCACACCACTACACAACACTATCACACCACTACAACACCAAACCAACACCACCACACCACCATACCACCACCACACCAGCATACCACCACCACAACACTATCACACCTCCACAACACAACACTATCACGCCACCACAACACCACACCACCTTACTACACCACCATACCACAACACAACACTCACACCACCATACCACACCACCATACCACACCACCACACTACTACCTCTGCTTTCCATTTAATTCCCACATTTAAAACTTTAGCAATACATTGGACACGTAACATGTCATTAACCTTTTGTAGTGACCATTACACGTACCATTTCCCATCGAGTTGCTACTCCCTTGTCCCTCAGTGTCCAGTCAACCACCACCACTACCGTGTCCTTCAGTCAACCGTCACCCAGGACAGCCATCACCCGTCACCCATCATCCCCGTCACCCGTCATTAATATATCCACTTAACTGTCTGATTAGTCACTCACTCACTCAATCAATTTCTGTCCTTGTTTAGTTGTTTACCTCTTTGTTAGTTATTGTTTATTTGTTTACATGTTTCTTAGTTATTGTTTATTTGGTAACCTGTTTGCCAGATATTGTTTACCTGTTTGCCAGATATTGTTTACCTGTTTGCTAGATATTATTTATTTGTTTATTTACTTCTTTACCTAGGTTATAGTAATTGTTTACCTGTTTGTTAGTATTTGTTTATTTGTTTACCTGTTTACCTATGTGTTAATTAAGGTATACCTGTGTGTATGTGACAGGTATGATAGAACTGCTTCAGGGACAAGGTAGTGAAGCCAACACAATCAGAGAACACATTGTGTTTATCATCGTACCTATGGTCAACCCCGACGGCGTCTATATCGGCAACTATAGGTAATGTGTCTATCTCAGTAGCTATAGGTAATGTGTCTATCTGAGTAGCTATAGGTAATGTGTCTATCTGAGTAGCTATAGGTAATGTGTCTATCTCAGTAGCTATAGGTAATGTGTCTATCTCAGTAGCTATAGGTAATGTGTCTATCTCAGTAGCTATAGGTAATGTGTCTATCTCAGTAGCTATAGGTAATGTGTATCTCACTAGCTATAGGTAATGTGTCTATCTCAGTAGCTATAGGTAATGTGTCTATCTGAGTAGCTGTAGGTAATGTGTCTATCTCAGTAGCTATAGGTAATGTGTCTATCTGAGTAGCTATAGGTAATGTGTCTATCTGAGTAGCTATAGGTAATGTGTCTATCTCAGTAGCTATAGGTAATGTGTCTATCTCAGTAGCTATAGGTAATGTGTCTATCTCAGTAGCTATAGGTAATGTGTCTATCTGAGTAGCTATAGGTAATGTGTCTATCTCAGTAGCTATAGGTAATGTGTCTATCTCAGTAGCTATAGGTAAATGTGCCTATCTCAGTAGCTATAGGTACTGTGTCTATCTGGAGTAGCTATAGGTACGTGTCTATCTCAGTAGCTATAGGTAATGTGTCTAAATAGGTTAAATAGGTATAGGCATTGTGTCTATCTGAGTAGCTAGGTAATGTGTCTATCTCAGTAGCTATAGGTAATGTGCCTATCTCAGTAGCTATAGGTAATGGCTCATCTCAGTAGCTACAGGTAATGTGTCTATCTCAGTAGCTATAGGTAATGTGTCTATCTCAGTAGCTATAGGTAATGTGTCTATCTCAGTAGCTATAGGTAATGTGTCTATCTCAGTAGCTATAGGTAATGTATGTCTATCTCAGTAGCTATAGGTAATGTGTCTATCTCAGTAGCTATAGGTAATGTGTCTATCTCAGTAGCTATAGGTAATGTGTCTATCTCAGTAGCTATAGGTAATGTGTCTATCTCAGTAGCTATAGGTAATGTGTCTATCTGAGTAGCTATAGGTAATGTGTCTATCTCAGTAGCTATAGGTAATGTGTCTATCTCAGTAGCTATAGGTAATGTGTCTATCTCAGTAGCTATAGGTAATGTGTCTATCTCAGTAGCTATAGGTAATGTGTCTATCTCAGTAGCTATAGGTAATATGTCTATCTCAGTAGCTATAGGTAATGTGTCTATCTCAGTAGCTATAGGTAATGTGTCTATCTCAGTAGCTATAGGTAATGTGTCTATCTCAGTAGCTATAGGTAATGTGTCTATCTCAGTAGCTATAGGTAATGTGTCTATCTCAGTAGCTATAGGTAATGTGTCTATCTCAGTAGCTATAGGTAATGTGTCTATCTCAGTAGCTATAGGTAATGTGTCTAAATAGGTTAAATAGGTATAGGCATTGTGTCTATCTGAGTAGCTATAGGTAATGTGTCTATGAATAGCTATAGGTAATGTATTGGTGTGTATCTCCTTAATTACAGGTAGGTTTCATTAGTATAACTTTACCTGTATTCTTACATTAGCACAAAATTATACTCAGGTAGTTCAAATTTTCTTTCATGAATCTTAACTGAATTTCAGGTATATTAAGATATTAAGACATGACCTTTCTCTCTCCTCTTTCCCTTACCCCTATCAACTTGCCTTTGGTCAGGTCTTCATTAATGGGATTCGACCTGAACCGAGCGTGGGGTGAGGCGAGTCCGTGGGGCCACCCAACCATCCACGCCGCCAGGGACCTCCTCTTACACCTTGACCACGCCCAGGTAAGTCCTTTGTTTGCCTCTGTCTCAGCCTTGTTCAAGAGGTGTTCTCCTTAAGTTGGTGACGTGGTGTGGGGGAGGTGCTGTGTTGGGGGTGTGTGAGTGGTGGTGAGTTGGGGGTGTGTTGGTGATGGTGTTGGGAGTGTTTGTAGTGGCGTTAGGGATGTGTGGTGGTATGTTGGGGGTGTGTTGGTGATGGTGGTAGTAGAGGTGTTGGGGGCGTGTTGATTTGACAGCAGCTAGTTTATTGTGTACCTCACACATCCTGTAAGCGTTAGCACAAAAAGGCTCACAGAGTAGAGGTCAGTTTATCATACCCCAGTGAGTGGTCAGGATATTGTGGCGTTGAATGTTACAGAGTATTTCCTGTGCATTGTTTGTTTAGTTCGGGATAAAAGAGATGACTTAGCTACTATTATACAGTGGGTGCAAGACGTGGATACAGTTTTAATATATTATCGGTTATGCCTCGTGCACACCAAGATACATTGTCTAGAAACAGTCGCGCAACAATGTATCTCTCAGTGTGTACGCGGCCTTACTGTATCTTGTCATCAGAGGTAAAGTGCTGAACCATTGTACACAGTGTGCTTGATCTGTTCCTAAAAGTTATATTTTTTCCACTGTCTAAGACGTAGTGTTGGAGTGTGTGGCCATATGTCTGGCCACACACTACATTTAGTGTTGTTCACATCTGCTTGAGGGATATACTGCCAGAGGTACTTATATCCTAACCTTATTCTAGCCGCTCAGCCCGGCCTGCAGGGGTGTCAAACTCATGGCCCGCGGACCAATTGTGGCCCTTGGAATGGTCAGGTGTGGCCCGCGGGATGACGGCAAAATTTATCAACCCTTGAAATTATGATAGAAATAGATATGAAGAGAAAAATTCAGATATGAATGAGTCAGTAAACTCCTAAATGATCTTTAAATCATTGTGGCAATAATTGAATTTATATTGTTAATGCTAGTAATAACACTATTGTAGAGGGGAAATGATTATAAATCGAAATCACTAAAGAATTGAAAAACTAAGCCGCAGCCATTACCACACATTCATTACAATGTGTGCCTTTGGGCTGTTCAGTTTGGAAGTTCTTATGGGTGTGAACAGTTCTTCTCTCGGATGAAGATAAATAAATCTTAAATACCGAACCCGTATTGCCGTCCTCCGACTTGGGTGCTATTCTCCGACTCGGAATATCACCTTTGCAGCCAAATATAGAAAAACATGTGGAAGAAAAACGCTTGTAGTGCAGTGGAAAATGAGATCAAAGTTGTGAGTTGTATGTTGGCTCTTGTTCTGCGTGTACATAACACAACTGTCATAACAAGGTTGAGCTCTTAAGTTTCAAAACATCAGTGGAATTGTATAATAAATTGTAGCCCCAAAATAATATATATATATATATATATATATATATATATATATATATATATATATATATATATATATATATATATATATATATATATATATATATATATATATATATATATATATATATATATATTAGCTTTTTATATTTATTAAGTAAAATTAATTTTACATACTTAAGATCAGAAAAACCCAAATGGGGTATTCCTGGTAAGCCAAGTAAGGCAATGTGTGAAGCTGTAAACTTCAGTCCTACAAATATGTGATATAGCACTTGTGTTGGTCCTGAAGAGGGTAACTAAAATAAGAATTGGCCCTCGAAAGGTTTTGAGTTTAACATCACTAGATTACAACATCTTGTAATCTAGTGATCTTGTTACTTGCTTCATATACATGTTTTACTTGATACATCGCATCATGGTAAACAATGGATTGTCTTATGCCTGTTTGCACTTGTCTGCTGGCTTCAAATTCATCAACAAGTTCTTTCCTGATTACAGATTTTAGGATTCTGTTTGACAGTCTTAAATTATGTTCAACAGTGTCTTTGTTAGACGCGAGTTTGGTGAGGGCATCAACACTTGTTGCCTGAGGCCTGTGTGAGAGGGGGCCACAGCAGCTTGATCCTGACCCCCGTCAGCAAGACACATATTGCTTGTGTCTAACTTCAGAGACAAGCGGGTACCAAGAGCAAGTAGTGAGGATAAGGAGTCAGTGATGATGAGACTATCAGTAGCAGTGTCTTCAACAAGTGTCAGGGGTGTGAGTATTAGTTCAGTTTGAACAGTGGCTGCCCATTTATTGATGTGTGTTGTAGGTGGTGAGCTGGAGATGTATTAGAAGTATGTTGGTGTGATGTGGTGAAGGTATAGTGTTGGTGTGTTAGTGATGGTGTGTTGGATGTGTGTTGGTGATGGTGTGTTGGATGTGTGTTGGTGATGGTGTGTTGGTGATGGTGTGTTGGATGTGTGTTGGTCATGATGTGTACATAATGTGGTCTGCTGGAGGCGTGTTGGTGATGGTGTTGGATGTGTGTTGGTGTTGGTGTGTTAGTGATGGTGTGTTGGATGTGTGTTGGTGATGGTGTGTTGGATGTGTGTTGGTGATGGTGTGTTGGTGATGGTGTGTTGGATGTGTGTTGGTCATGATGTGTACATAATGTGGTCTGCTGGAGGCGTGTTGGTGATGGTGTTGGAGGTTTGCTGCTGCTGGTAGTGGTGGTGGGAGTAATAAGTAAGCTCCCCTCCCCACGTTTATGGCGCCTCAGGAATGCAATTGAGATCTTCGGCTTCTCAGACCTCGTTCATCATCCCCCCCCCCTTTTCCCCCCTCCCCCAGAACCTGTCTAGTTAAGGTAAAGTCTCTGGCTATTTTACACCCCATTTTATTTATCTGTTAAACAACTTTATTGGTAGTTTCTTTGTTTTGTTTTGTTTTCCACTTTATTCCTAATTCCTTGTTTTATTATTTTTTCATTCTTCCCTTCATCTTGTGATTATCTCTCTCTCTCTCTCTCTCTCTCTCTCTCTCTCTCTCTCTCTCTCTCTCTCTCGTTAAAGACAGTTCCGTGATCAAGCTTCCGTTTATGGGTGTAATACAAGGCAAATGAGGCGTTTATTGGCTACGTCGCTTCGTGCTGCTGTACATTAACTCTTACTGCTTACTGTTAAAGACGGTTTTGTAGGTCTGGTGTGAGGATAGGTCATGACAAGGCTAGGTCATAGGAAGGATAGGTTAAGTATGCTATAGGATCACGGAGGTTATTCGAAGATACAGAAATACATTTTAAGATGTGAGAAATTATTATGCGTCTCTCTCTCTCTCTCTCTCTCTCTCTCTCTCTCTCTCTCTCTCTCTCTCTCTCTCTCTCTCTGACAGAATCCCGTCAACTTTCACATTATCACAGGATGTGGGTGGTGAGAATGGGGAAGGGGAGGTGAAGGGATGTGAAGGGAGGGATGGGAGGTGAGGATGAGGAGGATGGGGAAGTGAGAGATGAGGGGTAAGAGGTAAGGGGGTCAGGGGGGGGGAGGGAGGAGAGGGGGTAGTCAATTGATTAGCGTGTAGTGGCTGGTTGACGACTCGCCTAGCATACACAGCACCACTCCCTTCCACGTCTCTCAATACACGATTTCGCGAACACGATTTGGCGCGCGCTATTTCCCGCCGTGAGAGCCTTTGTTTGGCGGGCTGGAATTGGCGTGTTTTGGGCGTTATTGCGTATCGGGCTATTTTCCTCTCTGCTTTGTTTTAGGGAGAATGTTTGTGTGTTTGGTTTTAATGTTTGTGTGTTTGGTAAAGAATGGTTGTATGTTCGTATATTTGGTTTGACGTATGTTAGGGAGAATGACCGTATGTTTGGGAAGAATGTATGTATGTATGTATGTATGAATGATTGTTTGGGTTGACGCTTGCGGCTCTTGTTTGTATTAGTTCATTCCGCCAATTGTTTCATTCCAAGTTTAATGAGAGAGAGATTGTTTGGTCATCCTGTTTGCCTTGTTTATATATGATTATTCTTGTTTGCCGCTGCTACGTATCATCTGTTTACTTCAACTTCAATGGCAATATAAACACTGTTGTTGTTTGCAGCTTTTGTTTACAGTCGATATTTAGCTCTCCAGTCTAAAGTGTCTTGTTTTCAGAAGTAAAATAAAAGATTTTGTCGTTGAATTGCCTTGTTTACAAAGGTAGGAATAATTTGTTTGGGTTTATTGTTTGCAGGTTGTGTTATCCGCTCTGTTTACTGTTTGTTTCCTCTTCGATTAACGTTATTTGACGATGCGAAACACTTTCTTTGGCTAAACAAAACAACATTGTTTGGTTGTTCCGGTGAGTAAACTACTGTAGCCAAACTCTGTGTACTGCGTCTCGTGGCAGAGTGTTTGTTTGTCGTCACTGTACACTGTTTGTACTCTGTCAAGCATGTATTGTGTGTGTGTGTGTGTGTGTGTGTGTGTTTACTGTCACTGTACATTTGTTGTTCGCCATTCTTCCTGGGATACGTTTGTTGGGTGTGGCAATATGACGTGTCTTGCAACAAACTTCTCCTGGTTCAGCAGTGTCGGGGTCGCTCCCTCCCCCAGCAGCAACAAGCACGGTGTTTGCGCTAATATTTGGCTGTGTTCCGATATGACGCTATGGCCGGCGTCCGCCATTAGTTTAGACAAAAGACCCAATACCTATGCAAATCTGAGCGAAACTTATCATATATTTTCAACCAGGGTGGCGGGACTGGGCGGGTGGAGGGCAGTGGGGCGGGGTGAAAGGGCTGCTAGAGTTACTTCCATGTTCTGTTGGGCTTCCGTTTTCTGTGATTAGGTAGCGGGTACTGATTGAAATCTCTGGTGTGGAGGTACTAAAGCAGTTCTAACTCTCTCTCTCTCTCTCTCTCTCTCTCTCATACACAAATGGGAATTGGTCGAATTACCTTACTGTTTACCATTGTTTATATACCTGTATTTTCTGCTTATACATTGAAAATTGTATACCCGTTTGTGTTGTCTTTATACCTGCTCCTCCTCCTCTTCCTTATCCTCTTTCTCCTCCTCCTCCTCTTCCTTATCCTCCTCCTCCTCCTCTTCCTTGTCCTCTTTCTCCTCCTCTTCCTTATCCTCCTCCTCCTCTTCCTTGTCCTCCTCCTCCTGGACCCTCATAATTGACCTCATTATAAACGATCTTGACCTCTTCGTCCTCCTCCACAGTGGTGTGAGTTGGACCTCGTACTCGACCTCCACGCCCACTCCTCCCTCCTCGGCACCTTCATCTACGGTAACTCCTACGACGACGTCTACAGGTGAGTTTTACTACTACCATAACGTCTACTGCCCCTCCTACAGACCACCAACCCCACACCCCACAGCACACGACCTCATTAACATCACTCCTTCAGTGCCTCCCACAGACACGACCCCACTAACACCACCACCTACTGCCCTCCTACAGACACGACCTCACTAACACCACCACCTACTGCCCCTCCTACAGACACGACCATTAACATCACCTTCTACTGCCACCACAACCACCACCTACTGCCCCTCCTACAGACACGACCCTCACTAACACCACCACCTACTGCCCCTCCTACAGACACGACCCTCACTAACACCACCACCTATTGCCCCTCCTACAGACACGACCCTCACTAACACCACCACCTACTGCCCCTCCTACAGATACGACCCTCACTAACACCACCACCTATTGCCCCTCCTACAGACACGACCCTCACTAACACCACCACCTATTGCCCCTCCTACAGACACGAGCGCCACATAGTGTTCCCGAAGATGCTGAGTCATGCCTGTGAGGACTACAACCACTACAACACCATCTACAACAAGGACCCGGCCAAGGCTAACACCGCCCGCAGGTAACCAAGACCCCCACCTGCTGTAGTGTAGTGAGCTGCAGTAACATAAACCCCAAATAATAATACTAATCACCCCAATAACCTCTATATCCTGACCCTTGACCTCTGACCCTTGACCCATGACCTCTGTTGCAGGTGGCTGTGTAATAACCTGAAGGACTCAGCCAACGTGTACTCTATCAACACTTCCATCTACGGGTACAGGAACCATCGTGGCCAGGTGGTTCCCTATACTGAAGAGCTCTGTATCCTTTACTTACTACTGATGATGATGATGATGATGATGATAGTGATGATAATGACGATGATAATGATGATGATGATGATAGTGATGATAATGATGATGATAGTGATGATGATAGTGATGATAATGGTGATGATAGTGATGATGATAGTGATGATAATGACGATGATATTGGTGATGATGATGATAGTGATGATAGTGATGATGATGATAATGATGATGATAATGATGATGATAATGATGATGATAGTGATGATGATGATGATAGTGATAATGATGAGTATGATAGTGAATCACGATGATAATGATGATGATGATGATAGTGATAATGATGATGTTAGTGATGATGATGATGATGATAGTGATGATGCTGATGATAGTGATGATGATGATAGTGATGATGATAATGGTGATGATGGTGATGATGATGATAATGATATTGAATCACGATGATGATGATAGTGATGATAGTGATGATTAGAAGTAGTAGAATTAATAATAATAATAATAATAATAATAATAATAATAATAATAATAATAATAATAACAATAATAATAATAACAATAATAAGTAGCAGTGTTTGGGTACCTATAGTATCAGGTAAGTAGCAGTAAAGTATTAAGTATTAGTAAAGCACCAGGAAATTATTAACAAAGTATCGGTAAAGTAACAGTAAAGTATATGATGCAGTTATAATGCTCCTTGTCAGTGTTCAGACCTTAAGTAACAATAAAGTAACAGCATAAGAGCAATAGTAATGTTCCTTGACAGTGTTCAGATCTTAAGTAACAGTTTAGTAACAATACAGTAACATTATAGAGGCAGTAGTAATGTTCCTTGACAGTGTTCAGACCTACGTACCGGCAGTAACATAGTGAGGGCTGTGTTGGACTATTACCAGTTTTTGGGTCTGATACCTTACACTAGCCCTTCAGCCCAGCCCTTACATGACCTGCCCAGGGGTAAGGGTCCAGCCAGCCCTCCTCTACACACCCGTCACTCCCGCCTACACCTGTCTGTCCAGCAGGTATGTAAATATATGAGTGTCTAGCATATATGTGTGTGTGTGTGTGTGTATGTGTGTGTGTGTGTGTGTGTGCATGCATAAAGGAGCATGTTATGTATAGTATTATGGAGCCTGTGGTGTATAATAGAGCCTGAACTAAGTACAACAGAGCCTATGGTGGGCTCCTAGTCACGTAATAGCATAGTCCCAGCCTTAGCCTCTTCTATCCATACAGCCAGGCAGGCTCACAACACACCTGGGACCGCCTACCATCTGCCACCTATAATTCAAGGGAGAGTAAAATCGGGCGCGTTCAGGCTGAGGCTAGATAAATATGAAACACCACCGTGAGTGATGTTTTAGAACGCTAGGGAACGCAGCCTCACCTGAGAATGTATTTGTATTTTCTGCGGCTCACCCGACACTGGCAGCGATGTTTACGTGCGAGGCAGCTGATGAATATTAAGTACAGTGTGTAGCGTCTGAGAGAAAATAGAAGCTAAAACACAGCATGTATTTTATGTCGAGGCAGACAGGATAGAGTGGGGGAGAGGCTAGTTGAGGGAGTAAGATGTCTACACTTTATAAGACTTAAATACATTGAATATTGTTTCTTATTTAAGAATGATAGTTTCACCGTACATTAAGAGTGTACAGTACACGCTGGCCTCCCCACCGTGACGGGGCAGGTGTTGTAGAATAACATTTCCTCTAACACCTGTTGACAGTGTAGCTACAACCTTGGTCACATTGCAGGCAAGGCCACCACAGCGCTCCGTCAGAAGTAAGTGGTCCAACACCACCAAGATGAAGAGCTCTCGAGCCCTGGCCGAGCCCCCGGATGTAAAGGAGCCCGGCGGGAGTGAGGCAGCGGCCACGGATACGGCACCTAGTGTCAGCTCTGACGAAGCTTCATCCGTCAGCAGCGACAGTGAGGGCCTCAGCGATACCAGCGGCCTTATGGTCAGGATCAAGCAGAAGGCCGCCTCTGCCGATGAGGACGACGTGGGCTACACGCTGCGCTACGGCCACGACCGTACTGAGAGGAGCGTCCGTCTGCCAGGGGCGCGGCCACGAGACTCTGGTTCCAACGCGCTGGAGGGAAGACGACGGACGGGGCGCAACACACGACAGCCCAGGACGACGTACATGACGCTGTTCCCCGGACAGCAGATCCACCACCCGTCACGCTCTGACGACGACACACGTAGCCTGCCTGATCTGCCGTCGCTGACGGCGTCACTGCCGACGCTGCGGACGACACACGAACGCCGCCATCGCTCTACGTTTCCTGTGATGGCCCCCCGGGCGCGGCCTACCACCCTGGTTTGGCAGGACCTACAACAGCCCCTCCAGCGCCGGGACATCAAACTCTCCTACAGGTACTACGACTTCCGGCGTCTGACGCGGCCCCGCAAGAGGCGCCGCAAGAGGAAAACTAAGAGTCGCTCCCCCAGCCGCGCTCGCGCCCAGCGCCGGAGTAAAGCCAGTCACCACGCCCACCACATTCCGGCGCCCTACGCCTACCACAATTCGACTTCCCATACTCACCACAATCCTGCGTCCCACGTCCACCACAATGCTGCGTTCCACGTCTACCACAATCCTGCGTCCCACGTCCACCACAATCCTGCATCCCACGTCTACCACAATCCTGTGTCCCACGCCCACCACAATCCTGTGTCCCACGCCCACCACAATCCTGTGTCCCACGCCCACCACAACCTCGCGCCTCCTGCCTCCTCCCCTGAGCGGGCGCGGCCCCGGCGGATGGTGGCGGGTGGAGGTTTTAATGTGACACGCATGGCGACGCCGCCCCGCGGGGAGGCGGGGGCGAGGCTCCCCACCCCCCGGGGAATAAGGATGATCGACGTTAATCAATTGACCATCGGCGGGTACCGGGAGAACGTGGCCATCCCCAGGTGGCAGGCCAGCCCCCGCCGCCCCCCCATCACCCTCCCCACCTCACCCCCACTCCTCAGACGCTTCCTCGACCCCCACGCCCCCCTCTTCTGAGCCTCACCTCTCTACTTTATATCTCACGCTTCCAAAATGTTTCAGCATTGTACTCACTAGTCACACTCATTAACCCTCATCACTGCTCTCCTCTCTCAGGCGTCACCGTTGCTCATAATCATCTCAGGGACCTTATGAGTAATATACCTTTATGAGTTATATCATACCAAGACTCACATCCCTCACCAGATCTTCCTGTTCCAATATTTTTTGGCGATATTGTTAACGTGATCGGAAAATTACTTCTCATTGGGACCGCTACCTTGCTGACGATGGCGACCTGCTGGAGCGTCACGTCAGCAGGTAGGAGCAGCCTGACGGAGAGGTAACCTTCCCAACACCTACGTCAGCTTTGAATAAAACTCTTTTATCTTCACTGGACTTTTATTACCCGTCACCTGTACCTTCACCCTATCCTTCGCTGTAATACTGTATCCTGCCCTGTAACATTAGGCCCCGCCCTGTAACACTTTATCCTGCTCTGTAACACTATATCCCGCCCTCTAACACTATATCCCGCCCTGAAAGACTGTATCCTGCCCTGTAACTCTATATCTTACGCTATAACATTATATCCCGTCCTGTAACACTATATCCTGCCCTGTAACAATGTATCCTGCCCTGTAACACTGTATCCTACATTGTAACACTGTATCCTACATTGTAACACTGTATCCTGAGGGCTCCGCCGCTCCTGGCAGGGCCCCTGGAGGTGCCGTTGTCCCTGGAAGAGCCCCTGGGGGCGCCACCGGCCCTGGCAGGGCTCCTGGAGGCACCGCCGCCAATGAGAGGGTCCCTGGGTGAGCCAACGCCCCTGCCAGGGCCTCTGAGGGCGCCGTTGTTCCTGGGAGGGCCACTGGGGGAGCCTCTGTCTCTGGGAGGGCCCATGGGAGCGCCACCGCACTTAGCCATGCCAGGGATGGCGGCATCTTCAGGAGCCCTCGCAGGAGCAGTGGCGCCCCCAGGGACCCTGCTAGGGACGGTGGCGTTCCTAGGGGCCCTCCCAGGGATAGCGGGTGCCCCATAGGTTCTGCCAGGGATGGCGGCGCCTCCAGGGGACCTCCCATGGACAGAGGCTCCCCCAGGGACAGTGGCGCTCTCAGAGGCCCTTCCCGGGGGAGGGGGGGGGGGGTGGCTCCCCGAGGGGCCCTACCAGGGTCATCGACGTCCCCAGCGGCCTTCTGAGAAGGGGTGGAGCCCCCAGGGACCCTGCAAGGGGCGGTTGCATTCCCAGGGGCTCTTCCAGGTAAGTATTTATACAGTATGTAAAAGGCAAGTGTAAGTACCAGTTTACTGCGTGTGTGTGTGTGTCTCTGGGGATGTATCACCACCACTCCTCACCACCATCCCTCACTATCACTCCTCACCACCATCCCGTATTATCACTCCTCACCACCATCCCTCACCACCACCCCGCAGTTAACTCGCTGGTGTTGACCGTCGTGTACACTAGAGGTGGGTGGTGTTGTAGAGGCTAAGCACGTTTCCGCTCCTCTTTTACAGTCCTCCCTCCTCTAATTTACCGACAACAGCCAAGTCATGAGTATTTCTGCCCCGCGAGACACAACCTCCCATCATTAATTTTGTTCATTGTAAAATTCGTAGACTAATTTTGGGGGTGAGGGTGTGGTTGTATGGTTGACCAATAGATGAGGGTGTGGTTGTATAGGTGTCCACCAGGGTGAGGGTGTGGTTGCATGGGTGACCACCGGGGTGAGGGTGTGGTTGTATGGGTGACCACCAGGGTGAGGGTGTTGTTGGATGGGTGACCACCAGAGTAGGGGTCTCTTTGTATTCCTAGAGGCACTGGGTTTGATCTTTGGTATATATTTCTCGATCAAATGGTTCACTTTACTAGCTATGATATTCAGAGTAATGTCAACATTCTTATGCCTTAGTGAGTCAGGCCAATGGATACCCCACATCCTGTCATAATTTCTCTTGTAATATTTGCACCTTAGCCTGGTTTTGTCATGAACTAAGTAACAGTTAAATCTGAATGACAACATTACATGGTGACTGGTGCCAACGGGGGCTAGGTATTCCAACTTGGCCACCATACCCTCCTCGTTTGTTATGATGAGGTCTAGTGGCTTGGGTGTTTACTCCTTTGTGTGTCGGGTCTTTAACATGTTGGAACAGAAAAGTATCTCAGAGTTTCGACAAAAAGAGTAGCGGGGTATTTACTGTAAGTCATTTGGCGTGAACTCGTTTCTCCAGTCGATGTCGCCATAGTTAAAGTCCCCCATGATAGGAAGTGGCTAGGGATGAGCAATGCTGCATTGTCTATTAAGGTTCTTAAGTTCCTTTGGTTTGGTAAGCTACAGTTTGGTGATCTGTAGATACACTCAACAATAAGTCTCTCCCCTTTTATTTAATTTTACACCACTTGGATTCTTCAAAAACATTCTCTCCCTGAACCCTCACTTGGCTGCCTCTAAGGTCTTGCCTAGCATAGATAACCACACCCCTCTTGCAAGTTTCTTGAGAAAGGTTTGTAAATAAGTCATATCCGTCAATATTGAACTCACATTCCTCTGGGTCGATTCTCTTGTTCTTGTACAACAGTTTTACAACACCCACTATATATAGGGTTGGTGTACCTTCAGTAGTGTTTCAAACTCCTGTCTCTTATCAAGGAACGTGTCAGTATTAGTGTACAGGTGTACTGGCTAAATACACTGTATTTTGTAGGCTGTGGTTAGAAACGTCATTGTTTACACGGCGCTCGCCTCCTCCTGGGTGGGAGGTAGAGCAGGTGGAGGGTGTACCGCTGCCCCCTAGCTCTGTGCTGGCGCTATTGCTTCCACTACCCCCCCCCCTGGATATAACCCATGTACTGTAGTGTACAGTACAGGTACACATT